GGTGCGGGGCGCCGGCTCGGGGCGAGCCCGGGTTTCCGGGGAAGGGGTTGTCCGCGCACGCGGGGAGCGGAGGAGGAAGCCGGTGGGTCGGTCGGACAGACGGACGCGCGGGCAGGGAGCGGCCGGGGGAAGGTGCCCACAGGAGCTCGCTCTGAGCAGCCCCAGCGGAAGCGCTCCGGGGGTGCCTCAGGCAGGTGCCTGCGGGAAGGGCGTGGAGAGGGGCTGGCTACTGTGCAGGACTGAGTGCCCCTCCCATGCCCTCTGATGGGAGGCCGGAGCAAAGCGGCGCTGGCAGCCCCTTGTCTGGCATCTCAGATGGACAGACCGAGCTGGGGGGGGGGGCGAAGGGGGGCAGGCATAAGACATAAAGCTTGTTTCTCTGCCCTGCCACAGCATTGCAGAGCCTCCTCGGCCCACGCCATTTCGGACACTTCTTCAGCCTCTGGCGGCCTGGAGCAGATGATAGTTGGAGCTAATATTAATACTTAAACTTGGGGGAGGGGGTAAGAAAAATGATTAGCAATGCATAGTAGGCTTACCGATTCATCATATGCTATGGATTCCGTTTCTAAAAATAATTAAGTTTTGTGTCAGAGTAAAAACCAGAAATGGAACATTTTGTAAAACTTTTTACAAAGTATTAACTTGTACAAAATTATGTTTACTTATTAAAGAAGAGGGGAAAAGGAGGAAAGAAAGTATGTGTAGAAAGGGAGCCACACCAATGGTCTCTCTTCAAGGGAGCTGGCAGCTTTGCTGGATCCTTGTGTAAGGAGAAGGGAGTTAGTAGTTCCATGTTCCTGAAAGAAGCAGGATTGGGCAGCCAGCCCTCAGCACTTCCCAGACTGTGGTGCACACTCTTCCTCTCCCAGCCCTCAGAGCTGCCTAGAGCACACTGTGCAGCATTCTGGCTGTGGCTATTGTCACAGTACCAACCACCTCGAGCCCAAGGCCTTTTTGAATCACTGGGCCCCCCAATTCCTGTCAACAGGCCTGCCTCTCTTACAGGGTACTGAAGTGCCTTTAGCTCCCATTTAGGAGGACAGGGCAGGGCAGCACCTTGTTAAGATGCTGTTCATCTTAGAAGACTGGGATTTTCCAGTGGGTAGCTATCTGGTCATGTATTGCTGCCCCAGCTTTCTTGTTTCCATTTGTCAAACTTTCATTTGCCATCTTCCAGTTCTTTCTTAATTTTTTTTCCTATATCAACTACTGGGATGCCATCTGATTGTGAATGACAGGATTTGCAGTCCCAATAGGAGAGGGGGTGGTCTGTGAGACAATTTCTTTATTAAAATGTGGTCCATATTAGGAAAATATTTGCAAATGTCTGTCTTTACAGATGAGGTGGTTAACTTATGCAATGTTTTTTGTAGCCATGTTGGTCCCAGAATAATAGAAAGGCAAAGTGGATGTAGTAATATCTTTTATTGGACCAACTTTTGTTGGTGAGGGAGACAAGCTTTCTAGCTCACGCAGAGCTCTTCTTCAGCTCTGAAAAGCTTAAACCGTGTCACAGCTAAATACAAGATGGAACAGAATGTTTAGCCTGTGATTTTCAGCCTGTGGTCCATGGACCCCTTAGAGTCCACAGACCATATCGAAACGCTATGAAAAAAAATTGTCCATAGAACAGTCATTTTCAATCTGTGGACTATATCTAAGATTTCCAAAGAGGTCCACCCATCTTTTTAGGAGTCCGCAAATTAAAACTGGTTGAAAAGCACTTGTTTATCATAAGTAGTTAACACACATTTCAAGGGACCATTAAAGGTGAAGTGGCTTATATTTTATGATATTTACCACATAAGCGTCATTAAGAAACACTATACTTAAGACAAAGCTAACTGATTCCTGTGCAGTAATTATATTTATAAATACTCTAGGTTTGGCTGTTGTATACTGGTTCAAGGCAAACTATTTGTTACAAGATGCAGCATTTCACACACAAACTGGAACTATTTCCTGACTGTAGTGTGACTCTTGTTTTGTTTAATGATGTCAAAAATGCTGCTGCTCTAAGAAAAAAAGCAATGGAAGGATCTATTGATGGAGCATTAATAAATCCTGCAATGGTAAGCAAATCACCAAATAATTGCACTTTGTAACTGTTTATATTACAGTTGTATAGGCTATAATTCTTCCTCTGTTAAAAATGGTATACAAAACTGGGTATGTTTGTATTCCTGCAAGCTTCTGCACATGATCGGACTTCTGTGCATATCCACATCCCCATGAACTTCACTTGACTTCATGCAAGAGTAAGAGTCCATCCCATACAGATCTGATTTAGGATTGGGCTTTAAGAGCTTACAGCCGTACATGTTGATTTACTCAACCTCCTAGAATATGTAGCTATTAGAGTTTCTTCCATCTCTCAAAATAAAAGCTAATCAATTGAAAATTTAGTTCCATAAATAGTTGAATAGTCTTCGTATTCTAATAGCTAACATCTAACATCTAATAGCTGGAGCCCTTGTTCTTCTTTAGAACCTGACATTACCTTTTGTTAGAAATAAATAGCAAAGCAAAAGATCTGGGGTGAAGAAAAAAGAACTTTATTCAACAATTTGAGACATTAGATTGCTGGATTTGATTCTTTTAAATTCTTTGATTTGAGACTGTTAGCCAGTGATGTTATGCATTCATCACTGAGGCTACGTCTAGACTACAAGCCTCTTTCGAAAGATTCTTTTGAAAAAGCCTCTTTTGAAAGAGAGCATCTAGACTGCAACCACTTCTTTCAGTCTGGATGCTCTCTTTCGAAAAAGCCCTGTTTGCATTCAAGAATGCCTTTTTTCGAAAGAGCACTTTCAAAAAAAAGTGTTCTTCCTCGTAAAATGAGGTTTACCACGGTCAAAAAAAATGCCATGTTCTCTTTGATTTAATTTTGAAATAACGCGGCAGCAGTCTAGACGCAGGGGAAGGTTTTTTTTTTTTAAAAAGACACACCCTAAGAAGCAGAAATCATTTTCGACCTTTCCCCAAAAAACAATGTAAGATTTATTTTGCTGAGCAAATATCTCTGTTGATAGATGTGCTTTCCAAAATCCACCTAGCCAAGTTGAAAATAAACATTCACTGAACATTTTGCTTGTCTCAGAGTACCCAATTCTGTGAGGTACTGAACTTGCTTAAATAGCTACAGTGGTTAAAATTCCCTAGTCATATTTTGGTGCACACTTAGGTCATCCTAAAGTTGAGTATTACCTGTTTCAGTGAGTAGTTCCACTAACTTCAGAGGGATAACTCACAGAACAATCTGATGCTCAGTGTAAGGATGGTAGATTTTAGGGTAGTAAAACAGAAGTAATTCAGAGAGAAAGTTAATATTATTAAGATTTTATTCTGACTGGGGAAAAAACTAATTTGTAAAGTTTTTATCTTTTCCTATTCTGTTCTGCAGATTGTTGATCCATTTCAGATACTTGTGGCAACAAACAAAGCAGTTCACTTACACAAGATTGGTAAAATGAAGACTAGAACTCTTTATGCAGAAATCATTTTCAACCTTTCCCCAAATAACAATGTAAGATTTATTTTGCTGAGCAAATATCTCTGTTGCTAGATGTGCTTTCCAAAATCCACCTAGCCAAGTTGAAAATAAACATTCACTGAACATTTTGCTTGTCTCAGAGTACCCAATTCTGTGAGGTACTGAACTTGCTTAAATAGCTACAGAGGTTAAAATCCCCTAGTCATATTTTGGTGTATACTTAGCTCTCAGTGCTATGACTTCTCTAGCTCATCCCTGAGAATCTAGGAATACTCCTGATTGACTTATTTTCTCTTTATATGGACTGCAGGTGGCAGCAGCCCTGATTGTGAGCCTGTTGCAATTATTTTTTTTAATACCAAAAACTAGGCTACCTGTAATTGACACCAAATCCTGGTGCAAACGGTCAGAAATATATTTACTTGACAGTACTCAAATGAGCATTGAACTGCTAATGAGTATCTTCAGCAGAAGGTAAATGTAACCAGTGTCTGTCAGTATTTGAAATCAACTTGAGGTCTGTAAAAATTGTTAAAATATTTTATATTAGGTGTTTTATTTATCAAAGTACATATTTTATTAATATAGCATCCTTAGAGTGGGATATAATCACAACACAATAGGCTCACATTTTTAAAGTTACCATAATACCAAGGACAGAAAATATACTCCCAGCTTTTCTCCTTCCATTTAAATTTTTAAAACACCATGTAAAATAATATACAAAGATGAAATTGAGTAAAAATAATAATCCATTTTATCCATAGGAAAAATTAATTTCATACCATTTCTTATTATTTTTGCCACCAAGCAACCAAATATGACAACTGTCTGGATAACCAAACTATTGTATAACACATATTCTAATTATGAGATCAATAAGAGGACTTAGCCAAAATTGGGGAAAAACATGTCTGACAATAAATGCTACAAAATAGTAAGTAATATGGCAAATCTTCAACATAGCTGGACCTAAAGGAATATGAATAGTTGTGTGTCTCAGTGCAAGTTCACTTGCCCTTTTTTAAAAGTCACATACATTGTTTGAAATTTGTGTTTCTAATTAAGATTTTTACTTATTTCTCTATGACACCTTAAGTTCTAGAAGATCCCAGGAATGCAAAAACTAATGGATTTGCAAAAGCAATGGCAATTTTTAAGTTTTAGATTTAAGATGTTTCTCCAGACATAAACTTGTAAATGTAAATGATATATTCTGAATGCAGTAGTTGTACATGTATTTAACTAGTACATATAAATATAGAAGCATTGTGCTTTTGGATGAGAGCGCGTTCACTCACCTTTGTCGTAAGTAAAAGAGCTGAGACAGAATTAGGAAGACCAAACATTTTCCTCGAAAATATATTTTACACTTTTTCTAATGAGCTAAGAACAATTTTTACAGTGTGAAATTTCTGTGCCACAGAATATTTGAGTACAAACTTTGCCCTAAGCACTGAAGCGATTAAATTATTTCCATACATATGAGAAAAACAAAGAATTGCTTGTATAGACTTTAAGGCACGCCCTTTAACCTTCTGTATTCTATTCATCACTGCATGTACAACAAACACCCAGATTAAAAAAGGGCTTGATTTTTTCAGGACAGTGGTCATTGTCCATTTATGCATGTTTGGTCTGCAGCCAAAGGTAATTACTTTAGTTTTCTGACAATTTATGGGCATACTCTCCTGTTGACAAAAAAAAAAATCTTTAAAATGTCTTAAACACTTTAGATCCAAAAGTATTTGGGGCAACCAAAGTAAAAATTGGGCCTGTCTTCTCTGCTGCTATAACTGGCACTGGTCAACAGCTGTGGAACTATGCCAGTTTATACAATTGTAAAATTTAGCAAAATGACCAAACAGGTTAAACTGGTCACTTGCTTCCATGTAATGAGAAAATTACTAATACAATGTCAATATTTCTCATCTTAGATTTCAGATGCATTGAAAAAGTTTGGTATTTCAGACACTGACTTTGCAGTGCTCATTGTTCTCATTGAAGACAAAGAAAAAACTGTAAATCTGGAAGGCATAATATCTCAAGTGGAAGGCCAGCAGGTTTCTCTGGAAGAACTCCACAAAATAACAGACATAGCAAAAGTTAAAAAGGTTTGTAAAGGCTTGTTTTAGGAATATATGAAATAAGACTAGGATATTTTACTTAACTAGTTTCTAAATTCAGTGATTACTCATTCATTCTTTTTCTTTAACCTTGTGGGGTTTTGCAGAAGTGATTGGAAGCTTTTGTTTTAAGTGAAAATGGAATATTTGTTTGCTGCTGATTCTATTTGCTATTCAGAGAATTTCATTTTTCAATGGATATTGATCCAACAGCATCTAAAATTGGCTCCAGCAATGGGTGTGGATAGAAAAGGAATGCTATATTGAGTCGTTTAGAGGTTTCTCACAACAGCAGATTTGCACTTTCTGTTTTTTTCTGGGGAAGATGCATGGAATTAAAAATAAGGTTCAAATACTGGAAAAGTTTATACACTTACTTAACTTAAAGCATGTGAATAAAGGACCTTGTACGAGGGTCCTAAAATAGTAATGAAGTGACATATTGTGGGCAGTTGCTTTAGAAATTTAAAAAAAATGCCATGTCATAGCTTTTACTTCAAGTCCTTGCTGCTTTGTTCAACGTGTGTTATATATAGTCTTCTGGAAACCAAAACAGGAGTGTGGTTAACTGTACTAGAATATAAAATAGCTGTTCAGTAACTGAAAAGCTTTATATAATAAATTTATTTAAAGTTGCAAACCCATTTTCATATCTAAACATGATCAGCAAAGGACTTCTTAAAAGCCGAGTTCGGGTCTTTTCTTTTTCTTTTTCTTTTTCTTTTCTATAATATGTAACGAAGGGTTGGGGATTTGGTAGGGGACGATTAATTCTACATTTTTACCTTTAGAAATATCAAGAATGTCAAGTCCAGTTTTCCTTCTATATTGTTGCAGAACCTTTTGTAAATCTTTGAGATGTGTGGGAAGCTCTCACACTTAACTGAAGGGCAAAGTGTTAAGTATTTAGACAGATCCTGTGTGGAATTCTGGTCCCATTGAAGTCAGTAGAATTTTGCCAGGGTCAGAATTTCAGTCCCAGTTTCCAAAATGCTCATTATGTTAAGAAAGTTAATTAGATGCAGACCAAAAAAACACAGAGCTCTTTTAAGTGCCTGGCTCAGTTTCTTAATTTTTACTCTCTTTCCTCTTGTGAAAATTTGTCTGGTTCCTCATTCTCCATCATGTATAGCCTGAAAGACAAGATCTACATTTCTAAAGTTAAAAAAATGAAAACATATTTAACATGTTTCTTGTATATATTCTTTATACCTTTCATAAAGAAATGTTTTATTGCACTGGATTTTTTTTTTAAGAAAATGAGTACTTTCCAAATTTTTCTTCATGTAACCTTTACATGTTACATTTTTTTGTTTCTACAGATGTACAAACTTACTCCACAGGAAGAAAAAATTGGCACATTGCTGGATGGCATCATTTGCAGAATGTCAACAAAAGATATTTCATGAAAACATCCAAATAAAAAATCCACTTTAAAGCTGCAGGAACAGCTATTGCAACCATTATTAATTTTGGACTCTGTCTCACTACTGAAAACATTGAAGCAATATTTTTTCTTCAGCTTCATTCAACACCAGAAGTGCATCACATAATGCAGTATTGAACTGTTTAAATTCTCACAGCTCGTATGGATTCTAACCATTGTTTTATTTACAAATATTTTTTAAAATAATGTTTCCCAATATCTTTAACAGGTCATAAACATAAGGTTTCAAAATCTATTACTATGTACCTTTGTTGTAAAGTGTTTTAAGATAATCAGATGTGCCACTAACTATGCAAACTATTTTTATTATTCCAGGGCCTGTGATTACTTTGTTTGCATTGGCACAGAGAATAAAGGATGATACAAAGATATTTTTAGCTACTTAGTGTTTATGTATGTATCATACTTGTCTGGCCATCATGTACTAGGAGAGCTTATACAAATGGTCTCTTGTGATTTCCTAACACTTATAATCAAAAACACATAGAAAGTGGGTCTCTGTCCCAAAGAGCTTACAATTCCAATGAGAGATTTAATAAATGAGGATAACACATATATTATGGAACGGGGCGCAGTGGGGAAGAAGATGGTCTATAGACGTGTTTATATTGCTATTCTGTATTACAGGCAGTCCCCGGGTTACGTACAAGATAGGGACTGTAGGTTTGTTCTTAAGTTGAATCTGTATGTAAGTCGGAACTGGCGTCCAGATTCAGCCGCTGCTGAAACTGACCGCCAGTTCTGACTTACATACAGATTCAACTTAAGAACCCCAAGCTTCCCCAAGTCAGCTGCTGCTGAAACTGATCAGCGCTGATTCCAGGAAGCCTGGGGCAGAGCAACTCTGCCTCGGGCTTCCTGTAGTCAGCGCTGGTCAGTTTCAGCAGCGGCTGAATCTGGACGCCAGTTCCGACTTACATACAGATTCAACTTAAGAACCCCAAGCTTCCCCAAGTCAGCTGCTGCTGAAACTGATCAGCGCTGATTCCAGGAAGCCTGGGGCAGAGCAACTCTGCCTCGGGCTTCCTGTAGTCAGCGCTGGTCAGTTTCAGCAGCGGCTGACTTGGGGACGCCTGGGGCAGAGCAGCTGGGGTGCTGCAGGGTTGGTCCAGTAGTGCCCAGAGCGGGTGCTGCAGGACCAATCCGCAGTGCCCCAGCTGCTCTGCTCCAGGGTCCAAAACAAAAGCCTGGTCTGCTGGGGGGGGGGGGCACACTATCCGTGCCCCCCCCTCCCCCCAGCAGACCAGGGACACGGGGAGCAGAGCAGCAGCGGCAGCAGGGTGCCGCGCCTCTGAGGCTTTGCTCTGGCAAAGCCTCAGAAGCGCAGGAACCCGCCCGGTGCCCCTGGTCTGCTGGAGACGGTCTCCAGCAGACCAGGGGCACCGGAGCAGCTTACGAACGGGGCTTTCTCGCCCCGGAGCTCGCAGGTAGCAATCCGCTACCTCGACCTCCGGGGCGAGAGGCCCGTTCGTAAGTGCGGATCCGACATAAGTCGGATCCGCGTAAGTCGGGGACTGCCTGTAGTTATGCACATTTAGTGGGTCCATAAACTATTTCATGTAAATGCACTTGTTCATTTGGAGGTGATATTGCAGAAACTAGTTGTTAGGAAGGATTTGAATGAGGTAATTGAATAAAATTTTGGAAGACAGCCACAAAGATATTTGTAAGAGGAGATTTTAAGGGGTATTGAGGCTGGTGTCAGTGAAAGGTCAGGAGTCAGTTGTCATATGGACCGTTTTATCAACAATTTAGCTATATTGCAACTTTGGCTCACCATTTGAAAACTCAAAGTAGTCTGCCTTGGGTAAAGGTGGTTTGTTTTTTTTTCATTCAGCTTGTGATGAAAGAAGTAAAAGAATGTAAAACCACAAGAAAAGAAAGTTTGAAGGTTTTTTTCCACCAAGATGTAATCTGTAACAAAACTAGAATAGTATGTAGTAAGAAATCCATCCAAAATTCAAAGGGTGCCTGCAGTTTCACCCAGGACGTGCTTTGCTATGCTTTTTTTAAAAAAAAAATAGTTGCCTTATATCCATGGCTTTGCCATGGTTTATTTCTCTAACAGTATTCCATTAATTGCCCATAGTTGCAACTTTATTCCTTCTACATCTTGGATCCAGATTCCCTATGCATGCTAATCAGCTGCCGTATCACCTAAGTCCTCCCAATTCAAATTAGATTTTTTCTATGTCATTGATAATCATGCAATTCAAAGTCATGCCAAGCCTACCCCTCTTTCTTGTTGAATTTTGTTGCTCCCAACTGAGAGCAACCATCAATAGTCAGTTATGAGCCATTCATAATACATACCCTAGCCATTGATGTCGTCTGTAAGTTATTTGTAATAGAGACCTTGCTTTAGCCACTTTTCTAAATTCATCATTCATTTTTCTTTCCACCTAGCTTACTCCTAATATTCTCCACAAGAACTTACTATGAAACAAACACATCTAACTTTTGATCTGTTTTCTTAAGTTACCACTATTAATAATTTTTCTCCAAAACTGGCTTTGATTGAAAGGAAGATGCACTGTATGGGTACAACTACACAGCACCTAAACTCAAAATAAGATACGCAATTTGCACTATCCAAATTGCGTATCTTATTTCAATTGAATTTCAAAATAGGCTATTTTGACATATGGCACACAGTGCCAAATTTTGAAATAATGCACTGTTTCAAGACATCCCTTAACCCTCGCGGAATGAGGGTTACTGGCATGCCGAAATAGCATGCCCATTATTTTAAAAAATATTTTGACATAACGAGCGGCTTGTGAATACGCGAGGTAGCTATTTCAAGATACCTCCAGCATGAGTGCCCACCTGAGGGCAGACACCTCTGACTTGTATTTTCTTGTAGTTAGATTTTACCAACCCAGTACAAGTGTTTGCTCTTAAAGCACCATAATAGTTTTACCATGGAGACTCAGACGGCCTCCTTGGGCATTCCAGTCCAGCTTACCATCAAGACAAGTTGGATGTGGTAATCAGTTGATTGCTATATACCAAAGATCACAAAAGTTTCAGATTGATTTCAGTCCTAAAGGATCAGTCATGCCCTGTAAGCCAATTTGTACCATCAGTGACTCACCAAAGACAGCCAATCCTGTAATAAAGATTTATTAACTAGGAAAAAAGAAATTATAGGGTTATTAAAAGGTTAAATAAGCAAACATACACAAATTACATATTTTGTGGTTTTAAAAGCTGACCCCTATATATGTTCCCTCTAAGCTTCACAGGTGATTAATCAGCCCTTCCCAGTCAGAAGCTCAAGGCTCTGTGCACGGAGCAGACTGGCTGGGCAGAGATGATTAATCACCCGTGATGCTGTGCTGCCGCACAGCTTAGAGAGAACACTGCCCCTATAGGAATATGTTTGCTCGATCTCTTTTAGGAGCGCAGGGTCTCTGCTTCTATTTCATAGCCCTGGCCTGGTGAGAGTCCAAACAGCAAAAAAAAGAGAAAAATTTTCTTAGCTGTTCTTGTTTCCTTCTTCCAGAATGCAAGATGGTGGGAGGAGTCCTTTTGCACATAGCTTCTTCATGGGTTTGAAATGGCAATTAAAGTCTGCTGTTAATAGGACCTCCTTGATTGTTAAAAGACAATTCCTTTTGGCAGGGTTCACAGTCCCAGAGCAAATGTTTTTTTACAGTTATAAAGCAGGAACTTGAAGCATTTCACAAAGTCTGAATACATTGTTACCACATCAGTATCCATTTCAATCATACTAACACATAGGTGAAATAGTTTTGTGGCACCTGGTTTGTCTGCATCATGCAGCGCTGGAAAGAAGTGCTGGAACAGGCTGAGCATTGGCAGCAGGCGAATTTGCAGGGCTGCAGTCTGGGAAAGCATATCCCAGCATTTCCTTCCCTGGCTACAGCTTGAAAGCCTGGCTGCAGTTATGGCCTTTCTCAGAAAACAAGAGTATCACAATCTGGGGGAGGCTGTGCCTCCCCTAACAGATGGTTGTAGCTCTGCCCATGCTCCATCCCCAGACACCTCCTACAGTTCCCAGGACATGGCTGAAAGGTCTCCCATTGACAAAACTTGTTCTCTAAAAGCAGATTAAATGGAATTGAAGGAGAGAAATCCACCACCATAGAGTATCTGAAAAGTCTGATATCAACTTAAAGTGAACTGATTTTAAATGATGTTTGGAAAGGGTCATTGAAATAATTTGAAAAGTAGGAATAAGGGATTCTCCGGAAAAGGGCTTATTTTCCGGAAAATCGCGTCTAGACTGGCACTTTTCCCCGGCAAAAACCCCGAGCTGGAAAAAAGCGGCAGCCATGTAAATGCAAATGCCCCGGGGGATATTTAAATCCCCTGCGGATTTGAAATTATGAAGTGTCTCATTAGCATCCCTTTTCCAGAAAGGGATGCCAATGTAGACACAGCCCATATGTTTCCAATAGTGACCAAGTCCCTATGTCCATACCCCTAATATAGAGACATCCCTATTTTTTCAGCGGTCCTTACCATTGAGACTATGTCTATACTACAAAGAAAAGTTGGAAAAAGATATGCAAATTGCGAACTGCAATTTGTGTATCCTTTTCAGCTTTTCTTCCAAAAAAAGGCTTTTCCAATATTTGACCTGTCTACACAGGGCCAAATGTTGAGGAAAAAAACCCCTCTTTCAGAACATCCCTTCTTCATCGTAGATCGCAGTTTACAGGGATGCTGAAAAAACGCATCTGCTTTTCTACATTTTTTTTTTTTTTTTTTTTGGAAAGCAGATGCATTCCTTGGATTGTCTAGATGTACCCTGAGTATCATTAGGCTGTATTTCTTTCATCAGAAAAGGTCATGTATAACACTATATAACTGTCAACAGAACAATCAAACCTGGATACTGGCAGGCTAACCGCAAGTTGCAGATGAATGGGTCATGTCTTCACTAATGGTTGAAAGTGTGTGTGCGTCTGTTGAGGGAGAAGTTAGAAATGATATGAAGCCTACTCTCACTTCTTTCTTTCCCACTCTGAGTACTGGCTGCTGCTGAATGTACCCTACCAGGAAGGTCACAAATCGGTGTGATTTTGGAGTAAGGCAGGAAACAAATTCCTGTATACACAGAGAACACCCCGCCAGCTGACGCCTCTCTTTCATAATGAGGGCAATCCAACTTGAGCAGCAGTGTTCCCTCTAAGCTGAGTGCCTTGACGGCCATCCTGGAGAGATTCACATGCAACCCTACTGATTAGCAGAGCACCCACAGCCTGCAGCATGTGTTTCTCTGGTGGTGCACATCCACATTGGTCTCAATGCACATAACAAAATGCATTCTACACACGGGTGGAAAAAACTAGAGGGAACATTACTGAGCACCTCTGCTGACCCCAGCTGTGCAATAGGGCTTGGAAGTCTGTCAGGAAAGCTGGTCCCAGGCCATTTAGGTCATTCTGGGTCAAACCAACATCTTAAACTTCTCCTGGGGATCACTGGGAAGCTAATGCCAATCTTAAAGCAGTAAGGTAATGTGCAAGATACCCTGCTCAAAAAGAGAGCCCCTGCATGTAACCCCATGTAGAGGGCATTTCATAAGAAAAGAAAGATGAGGGGACTTCTCATGAGTTATGGGTTGGGTG